AAAGGGGGAAAAAAGGGGGAAGAAAAGGGGGAAGAAAAGGGGAAAAAGGAAAAAAAGGGGAAAAAGGGGGAGAAAAGGGGGAAAATGGGAAAAAGGGGAAAAAGGGGGAGAAAAGGAGGCAAAAAGGGGGAAAAAAGGGGGAAAGAGGGGGAAAAAAAGGGGGAAGAAAAGGGGGAAGGGGAAAAAAGGGGAAAAGGGGGGAGAAAAGGAGGAAAAAAGGAGGTAAAAGGGGAGAAAAGGAGGCAAAAAGGGGAGAAAATGGGGAAAAAAGAGTGGAGAAAAAGGGAAAAAAGGGCGAGAAAATGAGGCAAAAAGGGGGAAAAAATAGGGGAGAAAAAGGGGAAAAGGGAGAAAAAAGTGGGGAGAAAAGGAGGCAAAAAGGGGGAAAAAAGAGGGTAAAAAAGAGGGGCAAAAAGGGAGGGAAAGGGAGGAGAAAATGAGGCAAAAAAGGGGGGAAAAAAAAGAGGGGAAAAATGAGGGGAATCAGCCCCTACCAATGTATAAAGTGAAAATTCCAAACCAGACGAGGAGCTCAAAACCAGCCCGTGGTGCCCCTACCAATGTATAAAGTGAAAATTCCAAACCAGACGAGGAGCTCAAAACCAGCCCGTGGTGCCTGAAAAATTCCTGGAGTATCCAGGCTGTGAGGGGAAAAGGTGTTGGAAAACACTAAAAAAGCTGCAATTTTGACGTTTTGGGTGCGTTTTTTTTTGGACCTGGTTTTCTCGAAGTGCCAGTGCGGGGCTCAAGGTGCAGGAAGAAGCAGGAGGAGGGAAAAGGGAAATAAAAACCAAAAAGCACAAATTTGGTGGTGATGTTTTAAGGGTCCGTGTGAAGGGCGAGTGGGAAATTAAATTTGAGAGGAGTAAAATGAAAAAAATTAGGGAATTGGAGGAAAGGGGGGGAAAAAAAAGGGGGGGAAAAAAAGGAAAAACTCCTGTTTTGAGTTGTTTCCTTTCTCAGAGCTCTTCCTGGCCAGCACACCTCAGAAAAAGATCTGGAACGTGTCTGAATCCATGCAGGGATGAAAAGGGAAGGGAACACTCTGTTTCCCAGTTTCTACATTCAAAAAAAACCCCAAAAAACCAAAAAAACAAAAAAAAAAGGAAAAAAAAAAAAGCTTTTTAAACCAACCCAAAGCAGCAACACGCTCTGAGAAACAAAAGCACCAAAACCATCACAGGCTGAATTCAGATTCTGCCCCTGGACAAAACACCCAGCCTGCAAAACTTGTGGGAAAATCGGCTGAAATTCTGCTGAATTTAAATCAGGTGCAGCTGCTAATTAAGGAACGTTTTCAGCTCCTGGAATTCCTGTTTTTTCCCAGCTGGGAGGGGACAGGGAAGAGGCTGGAAGTGCTGTGGGAATTCCTCCCTCTGGATCAGGACAAGAGCAGGATAATCGGCTTCTCCATTGGAGAAAAGAAATCAGGGGGGCTGAGCCAAGGGAAAGCAGAGCTGAGAGTTTTCCAGCAGCCCCCCCAAAAAAAACCCCCAAAATGACCCAGAATTCGTGGCCATCGCCCTCCAGGGCCTCCCAAAACCCCGGGGATCTTTAATTCCCAGGGAAATCAGGGAATGTGCCGCCCTGCTGGGCTCGGGGGCAGAATTCCTGAGGTCAAATCCCAGCTCCAGTCTGCCCCATCCCAGCCCTGGGAATGATTTGTGTGTCAACACTCCAGTGCCATTCCCACATTCCCTGATTCCTAAGGAAATATTTGGCATCGGGAGCAGCTTCATGCTCCAAAGAAGTGCAAAGACAAAAAAAAGAAAGGAGAAGGCTGCTCCTGCCCCCCTCGTGCAATTCCATCCATTCCCGTTCATCCCATCCAGCTACGACAGCTAAAATACACAACAAGCAGGAAAGGACAGGTTTTAAGTTAAATTTTGGGGTTTTTTCCTCACATTATGGACTCTCTGGAAAGGGATTTTCCCACCTCGGTTTGTGTCGATCACCAGAGGAGTCTGAAGTCTGCTCTGACCTCAGGATTTTAACAGAGGGATGGATCATCCACCAAAAAAAAAATAAAATAAATCTCCGTTTCCCTGAAAAAACTGATTTCAAAGAGGAACACTGAGAAGTTCTTGAGCGCTCCTTGTCCAATTCCAGCTGGAAGCGATTGGCACTGGAGGGTCAACGCTGCGGTGCCCGCAAGGACTCGATTCCAAGAGGAATTTTAGGGATAAAACAGCAGAGGGGATGAGTTTGTGAACTGAGGTGACACCACCCACACAGCAGGTACCAAAAAGGACATCCAGGAGCTGGGATCAGCTCCCAGGGACAGGGTTTTTTTGGGGACAGCCCCGGCTGCAGCAGGGTTTGTTCTCGGTGCACAGAGCAGCTGTAACACTGTTTCAAGGAAAACAAATGGGATTGTGAAGGATGGAACGCCTCCTTGCTCAGTGCACCCACACCCCTGGAAAACGCTGCCTCTCTCCAGGGCAGGGCAGCGCAGAAGGAAAACACGAACGCAGCTGGGAGCGGATCCAGTTTGGGAATCCAGGCACAGCCCTGGCTCAGCGACAACACACAGAGGAACATCTCCTTTATGGAAGGGCTCAAAACTCCCCTCCTCTGCTGCCTCCAGTCTTTGGTAATCTCAGAGGGACGCCACAAACGAGGGTGGTTGATGCAGCTCAACCCAAAACCACGGAAAATTCATGGAAAAACGGCAGGATTCCCAGCCAGAGAAAACATTCAGCTTTCGGAACAAGCGTAGTGTCCTGCTCTCACAGGAATTCCCTGCGGACTACACTGGGATATTGCACTTGGCAGGCTGCAGGGAGCTGCAGAACTGCCACTTCCCACATCCAGGGGTTCATTCCCAACAGCTCCGAGCCCCCTCTTCCATCATCCACAGCTTCCATCTGCCCACGGAGAGCCAGGTGAGGAGCCAGGAGCAGCACGGGTGGGGTGGGGAGGCTCCACTCCTGGGGGCAGAGTCCATCAGAAGGGTGAGGCAGCTGCTTGGGAGGACTCAGCTCTGCAGGATCGGGAATTTTTCGCTTAGGGAACAGTTAGGCTTCCAAATTAAAAAAATGTGGGTGGGGAAAAAAAAATAAAAAATAAAAAATCCAACAACAACAGGAAAAAAAAAAACCAAAACCCCAACAAACCAAAACCCAAACGGGCGAGTTCTCAGCTGCAGGAGCACGTGGGAGGCCAGGGAAGAACCAATTGCTCTTTCTACACTCTGGCCACCGAGCCACTACCTCTGCTGCAGCTTGCGGAGCAGGATCTGCGTCAGGTCGAAGGTGGTGAAGCTGATCCCCACGGCGATGGGGCCCTTCACCCAGTTCATGCTGAGCCCTTTGTAGAGCCCTCGCACCAGTCCCTCCTCCCTGACGATCTCCTGCATGGTGAGCAGGATGGAGCTGTAGGTGTGGCCCAGCACGCCGGCGGTCTGCATGCGGCGCCGCACCACGTCCAGCGGGTACGAGGCCGACTGGCCGATGAGGCCGGCGCACGCCCCGAACAGCAGGCGCTCCGGGGGCGAGGGCTGCGCCTTCCCGCTGTGCTCTGCGGGGGACACACAGGGGAAACTCCTTGGCATTCACGAGGAATTCCAGGGGACAGGCTGGAGGGGCTCCCGAGGTTTTGTTGTGGAGGCTGCGCTCGTCGGTTCCCCACGGTTTGTGTTTCACCCCAGGTTGAACTCCCAAGGTTTTGTTCCCAAGGTTTTGTTCCCAAGGTTTTGATCCCCAGGTTTTGCTCCCAAGGTTTTGTTCCCAAGGTTTTGTTCCCAAGGTTTTGTTCCCCAGGTTTTGCTCCCAAGGTTTTGTTCCCCAGGTTTTGCTCCCAAGGTTTTGTTCCCCAGGTTTTGCTCCCAGGGTTTTGTTCCCAAGGTTTCCTTCCCCAGGTTTTGCTCCCCAGATTTTGTTCCCAAGGTTTCATTCCCCAAGTTTTGCTCCTGAGGTTTTTGTTCCCCAAGTTGCTCTCCTGAGGTTTTCCTCCCCAGATTTTGTTTCCCAAGTTTTGTTCCCTAGTTGCTCTCCCAAGGCTTCATTCCTCAAGTTTTGTTCCCCAGCTTGCTCTCCCAAGCAAAATCATTAGAAAAGGTCCCCAAATCACTAGAAAAGGTCCCCAGAATCACTAGAAAAGCTCCCACAAAACAAACCCCCGAGTGATGTCACATTTACTGACAAGTCACAGGTACAACTCCCAGGGTTTTCCTCCCCAGGTTGCTCTCCCCATGTTTTGCTCCCAACTCAGCACACAACCCAGTCCTTCTCCACCTGGAAATCCCACTTTTTCTCCTCCACAAGACAGGCACGGCATTCCCACACTCCTGGTTCACACCCCGCAGACCCCAGAGCGCTCGGACCCCTCCATCCAAACACCTGCCCCAAAACCTCCAGCGTTTTCCCCCTTTTACCTGCGTGGACTTTCTTCAGCGTCTCGTAGGTGAAGAAGCTGAGGCCGGCGTAGGGAATGACGCCCAGGATGGTGGGTGTGAAGCCCCTGTACAAGGTTTTCAGCCCCTCCTCCCGGGAGATCCGGATGAAGACGTGGACAATGCTGCTGTACCTGGCGTGGGGACACGGGGAGAGCAGACCTGCGCTGGTCAGTGGCTGGGATGTTCCCAGCAGGGCTCCCTGATGGATTCACCCGTAATTAATTTGGTTCCCAGCTCATCAGGCAGCTCAGAGGGGATTTTAGCTCTCCCACAGCCCTGCTGTGCTGTCCTCTTGGGTTTTCCTGGATCCAGCTGGCTTCCTAAACTGGTCTCCCAGTATCCATCTCCTCCCACATCCACGCCTCTGGACATTGAACCGCTGCTCAAACCCCAGGGATTTATTCCACCAAAGCAAGAAATGACCCAAAAAATGGCATTAGAGCCACGTGACCTTATAAAAACCCAAAAAAAGTTGTGCATGAGGCACTTACATCTCCTTGGGCGTGACAGCCATGCGGGCACGGACCATGTCCAGGGGGTAGGTGACCATGGCAGCCGTGGTGCCAGCCAGGGAGCCGGCAATGAAGCGAGGGAAAGGTGTCAGTGCCCTGAGGTGAGGTGAGAGGAGAGACCAAACGTCACCTGCAGCTGCAAATCCCACAGGGAAAATCCATGGGGAGAAGAGGCTCAGTGTCTGGAGAAGAGGCTCAGGGCTGCGCTGGAGCCTGATGCTTCTCCTGCTCTTTGTTTTGCCTGCCCATTTTCCCAGTGCTGGGAATTGCTTGTTCTAGGTCCAGGCCATTTATTGCTCATGTCTGGACATGAACAGGGCTGTGTTCTCACAGAATCTGCCCTTCCCTCAGCACCTCAAACCCCACGTCAGGAGGGGCTGGCACTCAGATCCGCCCCTTTGGAGCTTCCCCTCAAAGGCTCCACCTTGGAGCTTCCATCTTGGAGCTTCCCTCTCAGAGTTTCCTCTGCCTCAGAGCTTCCCCCTCAGAGCTTCCATCTTGGAGCTTCCCCCCTCAGAGCTTTTGCCTCAAAGTTTCCCTCTCAGAGCTTTCCCCTCAAAGTTTCCCCCTCACAGCTTCTCCCTCACAGTTTCCCCCTTGGAACGTCCCCCTCAGAGCTTTCCCCTCAGAGCTTCCTCTGCCTCAGAGCTTCCTCCTCAAAGATTCCCCCTCAAGAGCTTCCTCTGCTTCCCCCTCAGAGCTTCCATCTTGGAGCTTCTCCATCAGAGCTTCTCCCTTGGAGATTCCTCTCCCTCACAGCTTTCCCCTCAGATATTCCCCCACGGAGTTTCCCCCTCGGAGTTTCCCCCCTCACAGTTTCCCCCCTCACAGTTTCTCCCCTCACAGTTCCCCCCTCACAATTTCTCCCCTCACAATTTCTCCCCTCACAGTTTCCCTGCTCCGGCCTCAGCTGGATCCAAGGATCCCAGCAGGATCCCGAGCCCCGCTGCCTCTTACTTTCCCTGGAATCCGTAGTAATTCCCCAGGATCTGCTTGTACTCCTCGTGGGCGCAGAACTGGATGGCGGCGTAGGGGATCACGCGGACCATGGTGGCGGAATTCCCTCTCCAGAGGCTCCAGAAGCCCTCGTTGAGGTAGGTGTGATAAATCAGCCTGTAGGCTTCCTGCGGGGATAAATCAGCCCGTGAGCTTCCTGTGGGGAACAGGGCAAGGGTCAGGGATAACGGGAATGCAGGGTGAGGATGTGACCCCACAGTTTAACCCTCCCCAATCCCCCTTCCCACGGAGCCGATGTGGCCGCCCCGGAGGCTCCGTCACATCCCCGTGCTTTAAAATTCGGTTTGTGGAATAAATGGATGAATTTTTTTCAGGTTAGTTAAAGGAAAACATCAAAACTGCACCGTTCACTTATTTTTCAGAGCGTTTCCATGCCCGGATCCCAGCCTAATTCCAGAATCCGGTGAGGAGAGAGGGAAGCTCTGCACAAGAGCAAGCCAAGGACAAGGAAGGGTTTTTATATCCCATCCTGCCTCATTTTCCCTCTCTGGGAAGGCACAATTTGCATAAAACCCCTTCCCAAACCCAAATTCATCTCCTCGGGGCCAGGCAGGAACATTCGGATCACGCACACCAGGGCACGGCAAGCATGGAAAAGCTGGAATGCACGGGGAAAAAGAGCTCAGAAAGCCACGGGAGGGATCAGATCCCAGATTTAATTCCCTATAAATGCTGCAAAAACTCCTGTGTGCTTGGGGGAAGGAAAGGAGCACTAGAAATGGTCCTAAAATCAGAAGGAATGGTCCCAAAATCACAAGGAATGGTCCCAAAATCACTACAAAACATCCCAAATCACTAGAAGAGGTCCCCAAATCACCAGGAAAGATCCCAGATCCACTAAAAAAGGTCCCAAAACCCAAAGCCCTGAGTGATATCACATTTATTGTCACATCACAGGTACAGCCTGGAGTTTGAATCCTCCCAGTAATCACTATCCTAATTAATCCCATAATTAACAACACCATTCCCAGCCTTTCCCTCCACATTTTCATGGAATGCTGCTGATAAATCCCAAAAAAAGTGAAATAAAGGCCAACAAAAGAAAAATCAAAGACTTCAGGGCAACAGCAGACAGACATCACCTCACCTTGGCAGAAAATCTTTTTGAAGACACTAAAAATAAAAAGAAAAAAGAAAAAAGATTAGGGCTTGCAAGACATAAAAATAAATATTTGATCCATGAATCCCTAAATAAGGGATAAATAAACAGGTGTTTTATCCAAAGGGATAAAAACAGAAGGAAAAGAATGAATGCAAAAGGAAATAGAGATTCTTTGTCTTGTAAATGCTCCCATAATTTAGCACAAAAGTCCATTTTCTTTTCCCCCCTCCCACTGCCTGTTAGGAAAATTCAGTTTGCGCGGAATAAATGAATAAATAAAAACAATTAATTAAAGAAAAAAACATCAAAACTGCACCGTTCACTTATTTTTCAGAGAATTTCCATGCCCAGATCCCAGCCTAATTCCAGAATCCAGCGAGGAGAGAGCGAAGCTCCACGCAAGAGCGGCTCCATCCGAGCAGAACTCAAATGAACTCCCTGATTTTTTTATTATTTTTCTTTGTTTTTTTTTCTCCCTTGCATCCATCCAAAGTGACAGCACCTCCTTATCCGTGGAATCCACGAGGCGGGATTTGGGAAGCGGGATTTGTTTGGCAGCTCCGCCAAAAGGGATGGAAAAGCCTGGAAACCTTTTTTTAATGAAACGTGGCTCCAATTAAGGGGCTGCTGCAGCTCCTTCCTCGCTCATCTGAGACTTTGGGAGCCTCTGGAGTGTATCCAACAATTCCATGCAAATCCACTTTTCCCCACTGCTGCTCCTCTGTGCAATTCCAACGCTTTTGTTTTGGTTTTTTTGGGTTTTTTTGTTGGTTTTTTTGTTGGGTTTTTTTGGTTTTTTTTTGTTTTTTTAAGGAATAAAACACCTCGATAAACAGAGATGGGTTATCAAGGTGGTTTCGCTCCTTTCAAAAGGTTTTTCTCCCTCTGCCACAGGGAAATTTATTGAGTTGTGGGATGGTTTGGGCTGGGAAAGCTCATCCAGTTCCACTTTCCACCATCCCAAGCCTCATTCCTCAGTTTCTAACTCATCACTTTGATGATCCAAAGGTGTTTTCAAATAAAACCCCTAAGGACAGAAAGAGCCTAAAATAATCCATCAGATCCCAAGAAACTGCTGCAATTGGAACATTTTAATCTTATTCCTTTCCAGCCACTGAGATGGGCTGAACCACACAGGGATTTTTAGGAATGTGGCCTGTCCAAATTCCAGGTGATTCCCTGGGTCAGCTGCTGGCTCTGTGCCTTCCCTCTCATCCCTGCTCCCGATATTTCCACCCTGGAATGAACCTGGGTGTGCGTTTTTGGTGGGAAAACCCAAAAATTCGGCTCCCAGGGGCCTCCCTGGTGGATATCCCAGCAATTCCAGAGCTCCTTGCTCTGCCCAGAATGAAAATCACGTGAGTAAAAATCAGTTCTAAATTAAATGTCAGCCAGGGATTAGATTGAGCCCAATTCAGTTAATCTGGGACGTCACCAGATTTAAAATTCTTGGCTTTCCCAAACATCCACTGAATTAAAGGGCCTGTGCTGTTCCCTTTGGGATAATTGGAGGAATTGCACTGCAACAGATCCCAAAATCCCCAAATCCTGCTGAATTCTGTATTCCAGGCAGAGGAATTTCATGTTCTGCCACAATTCAGGGGTGCAGCAGCTCCAGTGCCTCCTGCTTCCCAGTTTGGGGAGACTTGACACAATTTTTTGCATCCAGCCTTCAGCAGGGAACTCCCACAGCCCAATTCCCTCTTCCCAGAGTCTCCACATCTCCTGGAAAAGGAGCTGGATGAGCAGATCGGGACCTCAAAGGGCTGAAAGTCTAAAAAAATTTGGGGAAAGCCCACAGGACTCACCTTGGAACATGATTTTTGTCCTGTCCAGAGGAGCCACTGCAGTTTTAGCCACAGCCCCAGCCAGTGCCCCAGATATCAGGGAGTTCAGCACTTTCTTCTTCTCCTGGTTATCCTGGAAAAAAAAAAAAGCATTGGATAGTGGTGAGGGGAAAAAAAAAAATCAATCCCACAAGGAATAACATTTCACTTTTCCTGCAGAAATTCACCCCAGGGCCAAGATTTGTGTCAAAATGTTTCATTAAATTTCCAGCACAGTGAATTCCTCAAGGCAAAATTCCAATAATTCCTCCTGCATGTGCTGTTTTCCCCCCTGTTTTTTCTCCTTCTTCTCCCTCCCCATGATTTAGCCATGGGCAGAAAGGAAAGTTTCTGGAAAAGAAGCACCCAAGCCCCATTCCCACATCATTCCCAAGCTCCTGAGGATGAATCCAGGCAGTTTTCCCCCTCTGGTGGGTGGAATGAGAGGGATTTTGCTCTTGGCATTCCTGCCACAGCTCAGATTTATCAAATCAGCATTTTTCTCCCACAGAGAGCCCAAAAAACAAAACAAAAAAAGCGCCACAAAATCCAAGCCCCGTGGAGGTTCTGGAGTGAGAACAAGCCCAGGCTTGATGTGTGAACTTTTGACACTTCATGGATGAGAGGAGCTCACATTTCCCTCGTTTCCAGGACGTTTCCCAAGCCCAGAGTTAATGTTTATGACCCAAAACCCCTGGATCAGCTCAATTCCTGCTCCCAAGCCGCTCCTGGGTGCGAGGGCAGTGGAGCAAAGGTGAGCTCCAGCCCCGGATTTGGGCTAAAGCACAGCAAGGTTCCTTTCTCCAGGGATTCCAACCAGCCCAGGAAAGCCTGGATTGGTGGCCCTGGCACAACCCTGGGTTGGGAATGTCTGGATCCCCTCGGAGGGACACATTCCATGGATCATGGAAATGCTGGAGGCTTTTGGGAGTCCAGAGCTCAAATCCCAGATCTTAAAATTCATCCCATTCCATGAGCAGGGACATCTTCCACCATCCCAGGCTGCTCCAAGCTGGCCTGGGGCACTTCCAGGGATCCAGGGACAGCCACAGCTGCTCTGGGAATTCCATCCCAGCCCCTCTCCACCCTCCCAGGCAGGAATTCCTTCCCAATATCCCACCCAAATTCCCCTGTTCCAGTTTGAAGCCATTCCCCGTGTCCTGTCCCTGATCCCTCATCCCAAATCTCTCTCCGTGTTTCTTGTGGCTCCCTCAGGCACTGCAAAGTCACAATCAGGTTGACCCTGGAGCCTTTCCAGGCTGGACAATCCCAATTTTCCCAGCTTCTCCGTCCCTCTGATCATCCTGGAGCCTCCTCTGGACTCGCCCCAACATCTCCACGTCCTTCCAGTGCTGGATGCAGAATTCCAGGTGGGATCCCAGCTGAGCAGGGCACAATTCCCTCCCTGGAGCCGCTGTGGGTTCCCAGCCCGGCTCCTGCTCTCACCTCTGCCGGAATTCGGGCCGTGACGGGCTCCACATCCCTCTGGAATTCCACTGGACCTTCTCTCACACCATTACCCATACCAGTCACACTTCCACGGGGGCAGGAGAGCTACAGCTCCTAAACACAACCCAAAAAACAAAGCAGAAACGTCAAAAGTGGGAAATATCCTGGTGATAAAGCGCAGGGAAGTGCCATTTTCAGCAGGAAAACACTCTCCCAGTTCCCAGGAAAATGGCAATTCCAGGTTCCTGGTGCCATTTCCTTCCTTTGAGGTGTAAATGGATTTAAATGGATTTTTTTGGGGGGGGGTTAAGATGAAAACTGTGCCCTTCTCACCCCACAAAGAACTCAGCTGCAATAACACCAAAATATCCACAATTTCCAGGGAAAAGGAGCAGATCCTGCCCTCCCCCAGCGAGGATTTTGGGATTGGAGGATTTTGGCTATTTGGGATTGCTGAGCAGCGAGATACCGGAGAAAGAAGGTGGAAATTTAAAACCCTATGGAAAAGGGGGAGAAAAAATAGTCCCAGGAATGAGTGCCCAAGGCCAGCCACGAGCCAGTGGGGGTTATTTTTGGGAAGAGAGGGATCCGGTGGCTCACACGTGCCACAAAGGCCACTCTGGGATTTATTCTGGTGCCTTTCAGGACTCCCTTTCCTCCCAGGGTGGTTTGCACAGGATTTTCCTGCTCTGAGATGTCCCAAACCCATCCTCTGAGAGGAAAGGTCGGCCTGACCTTGGCTGCAGAGCGTGGATGAAGAAATAATTCTGTTGAAATGGAATAATTCCCTTTTTTTTTTTTTTTTTAGGACTTTCTGATACTTCTGCTTTTTCAGCCTGAAAAAAAATATTTTTCAGAATATTTTCAGGAATGTTCAGGAATTGTGAAAACCCTGAGGTGGCTCAGGGAGGTGGCCCTGGAGCTGCTCACAGAGGGGCTCTGCAAGGACAAAAAAATCACTTTTTTTTAATAAAATAATAATATAATAATAATAAGCCACAAAACTGCTCCAACAGCCTCACTCTGGAAGGTTAAACCTTTCAAGGAATGTTTTATTAGGAAATCAGAATTCCTCAATTCAGTTCCCTCCTGCTCCCTCTGATGCCTGTGAAACCTCGGGCACAACGTTCCGCTCACGTGGAAAAATAAAATAAAATAAATAATAATTTCCAGCCTTTTATTTTTTTCCCCTTTTTTGAACAATCTCAGGTACTTTATGCTTGTCAGCACCTTTCAGACTTGCTGAGCTGCTTTTTTTCCCCCTCATAAATTAAAGGCAGCCCTCATTTCCCAAGCCTGGCTGGCTGCAGGTTTTAAAAACACAAAAGCGGAGACGGCTCAGCCTCGGCTGAACTCGGGCGTGACCAATTTGGGATGGAGGAGCCTCACCCTCGCTCCAGAGGGGGAAAAACACACCTGGAAACCTTGGATCATCCCAGAATTAAAGATGGGATGGGCTGGGAAGGACTTTTAGGATCACCTGGATCATCCCAGAATTAAAGATTGGATTGGGAAGGACTTTTAGGATCACCTGGATCATCCCAGAATTAAAGATGGGATGGGAAGGACTTCTAGGATCACCTGGATGATCCCAGAATTAAAGATGGGATGGGCTGGGAAGGACTTTTAGGATCATCTCATCCCACCCCACACCTTCTACCACCTCCTGTTGCTCCAGGCCGGCCTTGGGCACTTCCAGGGTTTCTCTGGGAATTCCATGGCCACCAAAATTCCTTCACACAGCCGGGAATCCCTTCCCAAGGTCCCATCCACATTCCCCTTTTCCAGTCTGAAGCCATCCCCCTTTTCCAGGCCCTTGGAAATTGCCTCCCTCCACCTTTTTTGTCGTCCCCCCTCAGGCCCTGAGGCCACCCCAAAGCTCCCCCTTCCTTCCCAAAACTTTGGGAAAACACAAATCCAGCAATTCCCAAATTCCTGAGGGTGTTTTGGGAGCTCGGGGAGGGCTGACCCCAGATTTTAATGGGATGTAACACCTGAAAGTTCCCTCACATCAGACCAAAAACTCCCACAAGCGTCAAGAGCGGAGCCGATCCCTAATTATTCTGCGCTTGAAGAACGCAGTTAATTACTCCTAATTATTATTTCTAATGACCTGCAGTCATTTCCTTCCCTTCTCATCCCTCCTTATCTCACAGGCCTGGAAAATGGCATTGTGAAATTCCCTTTTTTCTTCCAAAGTGTGAAGGAAATCACAGGTGGGGATATTATCCCTGCCCTGCCTGCAATAAAGGAATGTAGGTCACAATATCAGATTTATCTCTGCCAAAAATAACTCTCCTTCCTGCCCTCCCCACCACGAAAAATAGAAATTGTGCTAAAGGGCTTAGCAATGCAAAATGCAGCTTTCTTTTAAATATATAAATATAAAAATATAGATATAGAAATAAATATATCGATAAAAAAATATAAAAATAAATTATATTTTAAATATATATTAATGTATATATAATATATTTATATATTAAGAATATATTTAATATATTATTAATATGTTTAATATATTAATATATTCTATATTAATATATAATATTATATAATATATATGAAATATATATTAATTATATATATATTAACTTAAAATAATAATGTAGTATGTCATATATATATACAAAATATATATATAATTATATATAATTAAGTCTATAATTATAGATATGATTATATATATGTCTATTTTATATTTATGTATATAATTATATATAATTATACAAAATCTAAATATAATAATATAAAAGAGAGGCCTGAAAGGAAATTTGCCAAATTAAAGTGATTATTAAGTTATTATTTATATATAGTTTATATATAAAGTATATATATAAATATATAAATATAAATATATAAATATATATAATAATAGAATATATATATAAATATATATAAATATAAATTTATATTTTTAAATATAAAAATATCTATATATAATACATAAATATATAATATATATAAAATATATATAGTATATATAAATAGTACATATATAAATATATATAGTATATATAAATATATTTATATATAAATATATTTATATATAAATATATAAATATATATAAATATATATAAATATATATAAATATATACAAATATATATATAGTATATATATATATATAAATATATATATATATTATTTTATATTAAGTTATTAAGGCTGGACTTATTTTTTGCATAAAGATGAGATCTATTTACTCCACAATATTTCTTTTTATCCTGTTTAGACACATTCCTTATTTATTTTTAGTGCCCACTGCCCAGAGCCTACAAACACCTGTTTATACACTCAATTTTACACATCAAACCTGCCCTCAACACACAGAATGCAAAAATAGCATTCATTTATTTATGATCTTTGTTCCCTTTTGCTGGCCTCAAAGCTGGATTTTATTTTGGATTCAGGCTGGATTCTGATGTCAGCGGGTTATTTTGACCAATAATTCACACTGGAACCACAAAAAACAAAATTTATCTTAAAATTCAGCTTGAATTTCAATTTCTGGTGTCAATTTGCAGTTAAAAACCAGCCATCATTTTGCATTTACATCAACCTGACTCAATTATTAAATGACCCAGCAAAAACCACGTGGAGCAGCTGGATATTTTTGTTAAATCCCTGTATTTTGGATCTGTCCCCACACAGTCATTCCATTTGTGTTTACAAAGCCAGAAAAAAAAATAAAAATAAATACAAAAAACTCCAAAAACTGGGGATTAAATGTGGTTTTTGTTTTGTTTTTTTTCCTAACCCACTGCTGGGTTATTTTTATAGGAGTTACACAAGTCCCTGTCACACATCTGGATCCGGCAAAACAAATCATTCCCTGAGGAATAAAGAGGGAAAAATCACTGGAAAAGGAGATTTTGGGAGTTAAGAGTCAATGAGTAACAAACTCTGTGGGGTTTTTTTTTACACCAAAATTCAGGAGGATTTATTGAAAGTACAAAAAAATTCACACTCAGATCCAGAATGGAAATCAGCCACGGATTAAAGATTATTCCCCAAATTGGTAAAATAGGGAAACTCCCTCTTTGGAATATCTGAAATGATTTTAAAATCATTAATTGCTCAGCAGAAGAGCCAATGAGTTTTAGGGAGCAGCATCTCAAATGAAGAAATAAACCCAAATTGGGGTAGGAACAATTAAAAATTAAATGAAATTAAAAGAATTTAAAATGGTGCTGAAGGTTTGGGGATTAGCCAGCAATTCCACAAATCCAAATTTTAAATTTCATGGAAAAGTTTGGCTTCACAACCTGCCTGAAATTCCTATTTTTCTGTATTTTTCCCAGCTCAGATTAACAGCAAACTCCAGCAGGAAGAAGAGGCTTGAAATATGAGAAAAAGGGAGGGATTTGAGTTTTTTTAAGGTTTTTCCAACCCAAACCATGGCAGGATTGTGGGAATGGGGGTTGGAGCCAGGATCTGCTCCCAGGGATGGGACAGGAGCAGAGGCAACAGCCTCAGCTTGTGCCAGGGGAGGTTTAAATCAGATTTTTAGGGTAAATTTCTTCATGGAAAAGCTTGGCTGGAATCCTCATCCCTGGAGGGATTTAACAGCACTGTGGATGTGGAATTTGAGGATTTGAATCCTAAAAATTAGGATTTGACGCCAATTCTGTGCTCTCTAAAATGGTGTGATTCCTAAATAAATGTGAATTTCGAAGCTGTGAAAGATTTCTCTTGCAGAAAGATTTGTCCCAGCAGGGACAGACAAACTGCAAAGCAAACAATCCCCTATTTGCTGAGAAATATTTGCTTTTTTCCCCCCTGGAAAACCCCAGGAGCACGGGAATGGCAAAGCCATTGGTGCCCAAAAAAATTCGGTGTAATTTAAAAATAAACAGGAGGAATTTAATCTGAGGAGAGAAAAGACAGAGAGGGGAAACTTAAAAAGGACTTTTCAATTCAATAATTCAAAAATTCAATTCAATAATTGGGAATCACAACAAACAAATCCCACACTCAGCTCACTGAACACAGGAGTGGATGGAGCCACGATTCCCATTTAATTTACTTAAATCCCCTTTCACAACTCCCATTTTTTGGTGGTTTTTATTTGGATTTGATTATGTCATTAACGCCACTAATGAAAGCACATGATGAAATTAGGAAGGAAAAAAACCCTGCAGGAATTTTCACACCTTTCCCTGGCAGGCTGAACTCAGGGGAAGTTGCTCAATTAAATTTCCCTCGATATTTATCTGAGACCGCTGCAAAAACAGCCTGGAAAATCATGGAAAATCACGGAAAATCATGGAAAAAAAGGGTTGGAATGCTGGGAATGGGATGGACTCTCCCCTTGGGGTCCAGCTCTGCCTTCCAGTCTGATTAAGCTGTTAAAAATCAACCCCAAAACATCAGCTGGGAGCGGCTCAGGGCTCCTCTGCCCTCCAAGAACAGTCAGAAACATTTTTTTGCCAATAAAAATCACTAAATTACAATATCTGGAAGAGCTTAATTTTTATAAGTTTAAAATTTTTGAAGGTTAAAATTTTTCAAGCTTATAATTTCTATAATTT